GAAAAATATGTTGACGAGTTTGAGATTTCATTGAGAAATTAAAATGAAACAGAGAAAACAACAAAAGAAAAGGTAAAATAGGAACAAAAGAAAAAAAAATCTTGCCAATATTTTAGTATAATCGAATTGCACTAGTTGCAGGATAATATTTCTTTCTAGTTTTCATATTTTTTTAAAAAACCCGGTTTTGGAAAAAAGATTGACTTTCAAAAAAAAAAAAAAAAGTTTAAAAAAAACGGCGCTTGTCCATATTAGTACATCTCCTATTTAAGATCTCAATATATTTTGTTCGTTGTGAGCAGCCTAAGAAAATGATTACAAGTACTAAATAACTTTTCGCGAGAAGTAGATGAAGCAGGCGGGGAGAGTAATCTGCGTGCCATTTTAGCAAGGTTTGGATAAAGGCTTTCTGAATACTTCCAATATGTCATTAAGACATTTTGCTCTCCTCGATTACGAACTTGAACAGGTTCAGCAAGATATCTTGATAAAGCATCCTCATAAATGTCCAAGTCGTACCTGGATGCCAATGATTTCTTGATACTGCCACTGACCAAGTTTTCAAAAACATCTGCAACCTATTCGAGCTTCCTTTTTTGCCTTGATCTAGAGTATTATCAGTTTAGTTTTATTTTTTTGTTAATCAATGAACTTTGATTTACCTAATTGAATCGTCAATAAAAGCAGAGCTGCTAGCGTTTCTTGTAAAAATAGGGTTACCAACCAAAAAACCAAAATTTTCATCGTCATCCATATTTTGAACAGGAGGGGGAATCGTGATTTACGTTTCGAACTTGTAGTTTTCGGTCCACTCATCGATAACCATATTCACAGCCTGTTCAAAATACCCGCCTTCTTGCCAGTCATTGTCCCTCCAGTACTGGTATTTGTATCTTGGATCCATGGCAGTAGCAATCGAGTACACGTTACTGTCATCTGTTTTGCTGTGGTATTCTTCAAGTTTTTTATAGGCATTTTTTATTCCAAATGGAAGCTTGTCCTTGTTCATTTGCAATATAGTGTTATTTTGATAGAGTTGATTATTGGGGTCGTCCAGGTTTCTTAAAAATGTCTCCATATGTTCCATCATTGCATTATAATATAAATTTGAATGACTAATGTCGTTACTCTGTAATAGAATATTATGAAGCTGATAAAATATAGTTCGGGGGGAGGTTTACTTACTTTTCTGATGACATTCTCAAGGTAGCATCAAAAACACGGCCAAAAAATTATTTACACTCTTTAAGTATGCAACGTCTTGGTCATTTAAAGCATATTTTCCAAGTTTCGAAGAGTTTGACAGACATGTCAAGTTGTAGGCCTTCTCTACCTCCAACCACCGATCGATCATCTCAAATGTGCTGTTCCAACGTGTTGGTGTATCGTACTTCAAAACAAGATACTGTGGTAAACGGGATTGGTTTACACAGAAAAATAAAAAGAATAAAAATAAAAACAGGGAATAAGTTAAATATCCAGTGTGGTTTTATTCCAGGTTAAAGGTTAAAAATAAACTAAAGGAAAACTATCTATCTAGAAATTGTCCTATTTATATGAATTGTTAGATGGTAATGATTTATAATTGTGATAAGCTGTTATTGTGCTTATCACTATCTTATGCTTGAGAAACTATATTCTGTGTATGTTACACAGAAAAATGGCTGTCTATCTTTTATGATTACAGCAGGTATATTTGGATTTGAAGATACTCTGTGAGGTAACACAGAGTTTTCTTTTTCTATTTCCTTATTATAGAAATTCTGTCCCTGTCTATGACTAATGGTAGAATGGTGATAAGGATATTTTACTGTCATATCCTTATCTGAAATGGTATTATGTATTTTATTGGTTGTATGCTTTGTTATGCAATTGTGTATATTTATTATTGGCTGTAGTCGCTATTATTTATGTAGTTTACGTAGTTATATATTATGTGTTTTACCACAGATACCATTCCCCCTTGTAAATTGTGATGAATTGGTGCTTATACGATCTAGTCAGATTCGCTGATTTTCTAATTTTAAAAGTTATTAGCGCAAAGTAAGCCTTACAAATATATCACATTCAAATACCTGATCGTAATAATTCCACGACGCATCTTGGATATGGGATCCTTGTCATAATTAACCCCACTGTCATTTGGGTCTTCATCCATTTCAGCGTCACCATCCTCATCAACCTCCATGCGTTCGTATTCCCCGCTAATACCAGATTGACTATCTTCTTGTCTTTCGTTCTCCTCGGCGGCATGACGCATTTTCGTGTTGGCTGTGGCGGTAGATCCAAAAGCTGTTTTGAAAAGCTGCTGAACACATAAATTCATAACATGAGGGAGACATGGAAGAATGTTCTTTTTCTTTGAAAAAAAAAAGGTTTCGGTTTCCAATTATATTCGTTCCAAAGAAGCCCCCATCGTTAAGTTATTTGATCCGTTATCACAAACAATGAATGCAAGCTTCGACCGGATATCGTAATTATCAAGAACCCTCAAAAACAAGGCATCCAAATGTTCGCCAGTATGTGCCTCACTAGGTGCCTCTAGCCCAATAACAACTGACTTATGCTCCCAATTTGCATTAACATAATGAACAACTAGACCCATGTAATTCCTGTTCACTTGAAGGTGTCCACATGTCGGTAGAGAAAGAAATTAACTGTTTATTTTGTAAAATTTGTCTGATCATCATTTTTTCTTCCAGGTATCTCTTCGAAATAAGTGTCTTTACAGTTTCGTCTGATGGTAGACTTATGGCTGTTGGGTTTGTAGCTAATGGCGCGTGTTTAATAAATCTTGAAAATCATTATTGTCTACTACGTTGAACAGCAATCATTGATGGATTATAAAATTGATCAGTTTCTCCTGGAAAATAAATCTGTCGACAGGCTTTTGAATAGGGGACAAGAATAAAACATTGATGCTGTTTTAGATGCTTGAGTTAAAGCAGCTAAATATTAATGTAAGTATTAATAGTAGGCAAAATTTAGAAAGTTCATTACCTGTCGTCTTTGTAAGACCATGAACATCCTCCAAATGCCTTCAAATTGCAGAGGTATTCGAGTCTTTGGACTCATAATGCTTATGACATCCATGGGTACCATCAAAATTGCACATATAAAATGTTTTGTTACTAGAATCTTTAACTTTGATTGAGTGGCCATAATGATGTACGTAGCTGGAATCCTTTCGTTTGCTTGGAATTGATATACCAGGAGTTGGAAAGTAATGGACACAGGATAAAAGCTCCAGATTTTTTTCTTGTACAGACTAGCCTCGTCGCCTTTCAAGTATCTGGATTGAATTAAAACTAAATCATCAGATTGCTGGCTGATATTGGATAACAAAGCAGGAATCGAAAAAGCTTGATCATCTTGACGATCAGTAATCACAGACAGATCATTCTCACCAGTGCTATTTTTAATACTTAAAAGATAGCTCATATCACTGATTGATAGGTCAGAGTTTTCATTTAATTGGTTACGGTATATGTTTACTGAAATTAAGTTTAGAATATAAAACGAAAAAGACATAAGCTTTACACTTCCCTTTACATACGTTTTCTATGGCTCTGAATGTTATGTTATTTCCAATGTTCATGCAATAACAAGTATCAAAAGCTAAAAATAAATTGACAGAATATTTAATTACAGAGACGTTTTTGTTGTAACAGTCGTACTTGCTGTGCTTGTACGCCACCATTGACAATTCTTCCATAAACAGAGAATGTTATTGTTTTGTTACATTTCTGCATTTGCGAAATAATTTTGTTCTAAGCTTTAAGTTGGATTTGTGAGCGTGAAAGTCTAAATCAATTCTGCTACGTCATGTTAATATGGTTGCTGTAAAAATTTGGCTTAGTTGGGTTTAGTGGGCAATACTGTATCATATCCTATGCTAAATGTGTTTGTTGGTTGTACAATTAAATAAAAGTTTAAAGCATTTTGTTCGAATGATTAGAGAAAAAAATGGTAAAGCGTAGAAAAGAGTAAAATCAAGGAGAAATGCTATCACTAGTCTTTCAAGGACCTTAACTTTGAAGTGACTAGTATCGACATTTTAGCCAAGCGAGGTTAGATCGATGCTCGCTCGAACCCAAAAAAACTGGTGCCAGCTCGAGTACCAGAACTCGGTTCGGGCTACGTTCGAACTGCAGCAAGATCCCGTGCAAACTCAAAAGGTTCGAATACTAGTTCGGGGGATGAATGATATCGTATATTACATTGCTGTAATCCAAGGTGTACATGTATAATTTTTGGCTGGTATTGCCAGTCTCAAATTTGATTGCATAGAGTTTTTTTTATATATTACATGAGCTGTATAGCGTCTATTATTGGTCTAATACCTTGATTCTGAACTGTTTACAATAGAATGAGCTATTTATCATTGGTGTTTAGGAATGTAATGGGTTCTTAATTATTATATAAGTCTTTAATTTTAGTCTCTAATATTGATAATGGGGTCTTAATTATTACATAAATCTTTATTATTGGTTTGGAAGGCATATTTAAATAAATAACATTGCACCGATTTCAATGAAAAACGATTTATTTCTATGAAAGAATACAACATTTGCTGCAATCGAATATACACATTCGCTTCATTTAGAACAAGGGAGATCACACATTTGTATCACCATGTATTTATTTTAAGCATACTTCTATTAATTGTAAACGTCCATCCAGTTATTTGAAGAATCCATCCATTAACTTTAAGCGACCATGCATTGATACTGTCGTCCATACCTCTAAATAATCCCACTTACAAACATTTTACGTGAATCCATTATCGCATCATTCATTGTCCTCAGTAATGTCTGATTATAAAAAAATTTATCCAACCATCCTCGATCTTCCTTCTCGTCTAAATTATATCGATCCATCTACTCTTACATACAGACGTACCGGCTGTGTCAATAAGAAACAAGGTAGAGATTAGAATTGCGATGAGGTCCGAACAGAATATGGTCCGGTTATTCAATTAAAAAGTGCATCAAAAAAGGTCTATTGTTTATAATTAGTTCAAGATTGGTTTGTTTGCTTGTATTGAAGCATAACCTTAAAATGTATGTATCGTGTATTCTTTTCTGAACGGATGAGGTTAATAAATAAATAAAAGAAAACAAAGAAAAAGTCGCCACAGTGTTATAGCTGTTGTAGATTACGCCGAGGGAAGTAAGTAGATTTCAAGCTGCTCAAAAAGTTGATACGACTTCTTTGACTTCTACGCCTACATGGTAATGTGGTTAATGTAAAGCTACGAATGAGTCATGTGAAATCTACCATTATTTCTAAACCACGGCAAAAAAAAAAAAGCTTCAGGGAAAATGGAAAACGAAAACATTACTTACTGTTAATTGAATTAGTTTTGCATACGGAGAAATAATAGACTCTTACCAAACAATTTTGCCTGAAAATAGACAACAGATTTTAAGAAGGTTGGTAAGGAATGTTACTAATTCGAATGGGGGAACAAAGATTAGAAGAAACTAACATGGTTTGTATAAGCGTCAGAATATTT